GTGTCGCAAGGAGTTCACAGGTGGGGGCCAGAGCGGGCTGGGGGCGCGGGGGAGGAGGCTCCGGCCCACACCCGCTGGCTCCCGCCCACAGACCTCATGACGGAGATGCTGGACCTCAGCAGCGACCTGGAGGCCAGCGGGATCCCCTTCCTGGACTACCGCACCTACGCCGAACGCGCCTTTTTCCCTGGTCACGGTGCCTGCGCGCTGCAGCCCTTGGCCGAGGGGCCGGGGCCGGAGGGCCGCCGCGCCCCCGCGCACCAGGGTCTGACACAGCTCTCCAACCTGCTCAACAGCAAGCTCTTCCTCCTCACAGTGAGGCCCGGCGGGGCGGGCGGTGCCGCGGGAGCCCCGTGAGGGGGGCAGGGTGGGCCCTGTGTGAGCTGCAGCCCTTGCGCCTAGCTCATCCACACGCTGGAGAAGCAGCCCAGCTTCTCCCAGCGCGACCGCTGCCACGTGGCTTCGTTGCTGTCCCTGGCGCTGCATGGCAAGCTGGAGTACCTGACCGACATCATGAGGACGCTGCTCGGGGACCTGGCTGCCCAGTGTGTACGCAAGAACCCCAAGCTCATGCTGCGCAGGTGAGCCTTGGCTGGACTGGGGCCCTCGGGCACGGGAGACCCGGCGCCCCTCCAACTAGGCCTGCCACCTGTAGGACGGAGACCATGGTGGAGAAGCTGCTGACCAACTGGCTGTCCATCTGTCTCTACGCCTTCCTGAAGGTGAGTGCGCCCCGTGGCACCTCCCCAGCCAGCAGCCCTGCTGCCCAGGACCGCCCTGCTTATGCCAGCGCCCCCTGCTTACAGGAGGTAGCTGGTGAGCCCCTGTACCTGCTCCTAAGGGCCATCCAGTACCAGGTGGACAAGGGCCCGGTGGATGCCGTGACGGGCAAGGCCAAGCGAACCCTGAACGACAGCCGCCTGCTGCGGGAGGATGTGGACTTCCGGCCACTGACGCTGGTGGTGCTGGCGGGGCCTGGTTCGGCGGGAAGCAGCACAGCGCAGCGCGTGCCCACCCGGGTACTCGACACAGACACCATTACCCAGGTCAAGGAGAAGGTGCTGGAGCAGGTCTACAAGGGCACCCCATTCTCACAGAGGCCCTCGGTGCATGCTCTCGACCTGGGTGAGACGCCCCGCAGTGGAGCTGCCGGAGCCCTGGGGCTGCCCCGCTCTGTCTGTGTGCCAGCTGACTCTCCCTGCCCCGGGTCCCCCAGAGTGGCGCTCAGGCGTGGCGGGTCACTTGACCCTTTCAGACGAGGACCTGACCTCAGTGACCCAGAACCACTGGAAGAGGCTCAACACCCTGCAACACTACAAGGTAGGAGGCGGGGCGGGGCCCGTGGTGGGGCAGCTCCGCCTGGGCGGCAGGGAGGTGGCCAGCCTCTGCTCTCCTCTTTGCCAGGTCCCGGATGGAGCCACCGTGCGGCTCATACCCCAGATGCACAACGGAGGCACTGTGTCACAGAGCCCGGCCTCCAGCTGCCTGGCAGGGGAGAGTGAGTCCGGGAGAAAGTGAGGGCGCAGGGGAGGGCCGAGGCGCTCCCCGGTCTCCCACGCCAGGGTGACCATCCGTGCTTGCAGGCACTCCCATGCTGGAGGAGGGTGAGGAGGGCGGGATGCGTGTCTGGCACCTGGTCAAGGCCCCTGAGGAGTCCGAAGGGGCCCGGGCCCGGCGCAGCAGTCTGCGGGAGCGGGAGCGGGAACGTGCACGGGCCAAGGCCATCCCGGAAATCTACCTCACCCGCCTGCTGTCCATGAAGGTTCGTGTCGCGGCGCCCACACGGGCCCTGTGAGCTGGGCGAGGGACGGGTCCCCGCCTGCTGGCCCCTGATGGTGGTGTCCACCCACCCTCCCAGGGCACGCTGCAGAAGTTTGTCGACGACACGTTCCAGGCCATCCTAAGTGTGAACCGGCCACTGCCCATCGCCATCAAGTACCTGTTTGATTTCCTGGATGAGCTGGCTGAGAAGCACGGCATCGAGGACCCCGAGACCCTGCACATCTGGAAGACCAACAGGTGTCTGGAGGACCTGGGGGTGGGGGTGGGCAAAGGCATCCCCTGGCCTTCTGGGGAGCACAGACGTTGGAGCGGGGCGCCCTGCTTCCCTGAGCTCTGCATCTGCCACAGCCTGTTACTGCGCTTCTGGGTGAACACGCTGAAGAACCCCCAGCTCATCTTCGACGTGCGCGTGTCGGACAATGCGGACGCCATCCTCGCCGTCATCGCCCAGACCTTCATCGACTCCTGCACCGTGTCAGAGCACAAAGTGGGCCGGGTGAGCCTCGAACTGCGAGCAGGATGGGCGGAAGGCTGGAGGAGGGTCCCCGCTCATGCGCCCCTGCCCCTGAGCAGGACTCGCCGGTGAACAAGCTGCTGTACGCTCGGGAGATCCCTCGCTACAAGCAGATGGTGGAGAGGTACGTGTCGCCATGGCATGGTGGGGCCCGAGGGCGGGCCGTGCCTCACCGTGCTCCCCCTCAGGTACTATGCTGACATCCGCCAGAGCTCCCCCGTGAGCTTCCAGGAGATGAACTCGGCGCTGGCGGAGCTCTCAGGGGTGAGCTGGCCCAGGGGTCCAGGGGAGCGGGCGCTGGGATCTGGCGCCCAGGTCGATGCCTCACTGTGGCCCCCACCCCATGCCCAGAACTACACGTCTACACCCCACTGCCTGGAGGCACTGCAGGGCCTTTACAACCACATCCACAGATACTATGACCAGGTGAAGTCCTCCCCTGGGGAGGGGGTCTGGCTTTCCCAGGGGGTTCTCAGGGTGCCCCTGTGGGCAGAGATGGTCATCAGGGGCGCCCTCCCCTCTGCAGATCATTGGTGCCCTGGAGGAAGACCCTGTGGGCCAGAAGATGCAGCTGGCCTGCCGCCTGCAGCAGGTGGCCGCGCTGGTGGAAAACAAGGTGACAGACCTGTAAGGGACCCTGGGCGGGGCCCCTCTAATTTATAGCCCCGCCCTCACTGTATTTATTTGCTTGCTGAAGAATCGCGTTTGGAAATAAAATAGAAATATGTCTTTGTAAGAAAAGTGAATTCCTCTAGGAGTCGGCTTGGGGCTCTCGAGCAAGGGGGGTGGCACCAGGCTCCCCAGCCCTGGCTCTCTCCCTCCGAGCCCACCCTGTGGGCACAGGAACACAAGATCAATGTCTCCCATCCTCATCTGACTCCCCGGCAGTCTCCCGGTGAACTCCTGATCCCCATCTTTTTTTTAAGGGGGTTGGGGCCAACCTAGCAGTGCTCGAGAGCTCTGGCTGGCGCTGTGCTCGGGAGTGACCCCTGGTGGTGCTGGCAGGACCCTCTTTGGCTCTGACCCAGTGGGCCACGTGGAAGGCACGCGTGCCTTACTCCCTGTAGCCTCAGGCCAAGAGCCGAGTCTGTGTGCGTTTCATTCACTAACATGCCTGTTGTATTTGCAAACCTTCAATAGTCCTGTGCTTATATAGAGCTTACTGTTTGCCAAGGTCTCTTTTGCAACTTTTTTTTCTTGCTTTGGGAAGCCCCACCTGGCAGTGCTCGGTGCTTACTCCTGGCTCTGTGCTCTGGGATTTCTTCTGGCAAGGTCCAGGAAGGATGCTCCCTTTCTTCTGTGGCACCTCCCTGGCACTGTGGGTGTCCACATGCTCTCCAACTGCAGCCACTCTAGGCCAGGGAAATGCCAGAGTTTCTGAGCCCCCCCCTTCCTTGACTGCCAGTTCTCCTTTGGAGGGACACAAAAAGAGGTGCCCAGGGGTCGGTTCTGGTGATGGCAGCCGGGCTCAGACCCAGCCTGGACTCAAGTTTGCACAGTGCCCAGTGAGCTGTGTCTTGGGTCCTGGCTACCAGTTCTTGCCACTTCCTTGAGGGTTGGATGTCCCTTGGTCGCCACCAGTGGGAAGCTGGAGGAGGGAGCCCACAGATGTAGCCTGGGCTCAGCTCGCCGCACCTCCCAGGGTGCCCGTGAGGCCTGTGGCATGGCAGGGATGGTAGCGGGGAGGTCAGTGAAGCAGGTCTGCACCCCAGTTTCTGCCCCGTATCTTTGCGGTCACTGAACCCCAGCACCCAGGTGAGGGCACCTGCAAGGGCCGAGGTGGGTGCAAATTGTGTTGCCAGTAGCCTGCAGCAGGATGTCTTTCTGATTGCTTGGTGTGCAGGTTAGTGCCATATTCCCAGTGGGTTCTGATGCCCATGGCTCTGGCATCACTCCACCACTCTTTCCCCATTGGATTATGCCCACTGACATGATTGCAATGGTCTTAACAGCTGTGGTTTTGGGGTGCAGTTCACCCGGCCACTGCTCCCCCATGCTCTTGTGTCCTTTCAGTCCCCCTCACCCCACACCCCCAAAGCAGGAACTCTGAACACTTTCCCACCTGTGATCTGTCATTCCCCGGAGGTGCAACCCCAGTGAGTATCGCCAGAGGCACCTGTGGACCGTGGTCCAATTGCTTTTGTCTTTTCATTTGTGTTCCAGTCTTTCTTCCGGGAGGTCTCGTGGAGACACAGTCGCGGGCCTCATGCTGAGCCTCCTCAGGGTTGATCTTCAATTTTTTGTTTGTCTCGAAGGCACCCCCCACAGTACCCAGGGGCTGCTCTAGATTCTGTTTGGGGCTCAGTCCCGGCCACACTGAGGGACCATGCAGTGCTGGCGATGGAACCCGGATCAGCAGGGGCAAGGCCGGAGCTGCAATCCCTGTGTTCTGTCCCCGCCCCCAGCGCCATTGATTTTTTGTTTATTTCTGCTTGTCGCGTTTTCAGAAACTGTGTGCTGCCGATATTTTCATCCTTCCCCCTCCCCGCCCTGTTAGAGACCCCACGGGATGCCAGCCCGCTTTTCCAAAGCTAATGTTTAGGGTACGGGCTGGGGGGAAGCACATCCTTCTAATCCTTGTGTGACTGCTGGAATAAGCGGCTGCGCTGAGGACCAGGTGACAGCCACATTCCATGCAGAGCCCCCCTTCCCCGCCGCGCCCCCCCTCCCCGTGGCACGGGGGCTCAGCCTGGGAGAGCGGCCACACAGCGTCACCGTGTGGGTGGGCCTCATGGGGGCCAGCCTGGGGGCCGTCATCTCTCAGCGGTGGGGGCAGGGGCCTCAGGGCGCAGGGCGGGCGGTCCAGGGCCTCGGGCCGCGCCGCCCCCTCCCGGCCTCATACCTTGCCCACAGCCGAGCAGCTGGGAGGCTATTTATAAAGGCGGGTGAGATCAGCGGCCGAGGCTATAAATGTGAGGGCCGCGGCCGGGCCCAGAGAGCAGCCGCCCGGGGCGCTGGAGCTGCGAGCCGGGCCACGATGAGCGCCAGCGCCGGCGGCGGTGGGGACTGCGGCGGCAGCAGCAGCAGGTAGGGCTCGGCCAGGCCCCGGGGCCCCGGCGCCCCAAGTGCGTGCTCACCGCCCGCCCGCCCCGCCCGCAGCTCGCCGGCCTCCGCGTCCGCCGGGGCCGCGTCGGCGCCGCCGATGCTGCAGGGTCCCCTGGGCTCCGACGATGAGGAGCAGGAGGACCCCAAGGACTACTGCAAGGGTGAGGCCGGGCCCGGAGCGCCCGCGCAGGGCCGGGCGGGGGCAGGGCGCGGGCCGGCACGCCCCCACCGTTCTCGGCCCCTTCGCAGGCGGCTACTACCCCGTGAAGATCGGAGACCTGTTCAATGGGAGGTACCACGTGGTGCGCAAGCTGGGCTGGGGCCACTTCTCCACCGTCTGGCTGTGCTGGGACATCCAGTGAGCGACCCCTCCGCCCCGGGCCTAGGGTCTCCTGGGAGGGCGGCCCTGCGCCGGCGGCTGCCCAAGCGCTCCCTGTGCTGCAGGCGCAAGCGCTTGGTGGCCCTGAAAGTGGTGAAGAGTGGCGGGCATTACACGGAGACAGCTGTGGATGAGATCAAGCTCCTGAAATGTGTGAGGCCCCTCCCCACCCGCTCCCCCAGCCGCCGACCCCACTGCCTCTCAGCTGCCCGCTGCTGAGGACTGGTGGGCAGGGGTGGGATCGCAGGCGAGCTGGTTGGATCCACGGGTGGCCCCTTGCCCTTTGTTTCAGGTCCGAGACAGTGACCCGAGTGACCCCAAAAGAGAGACCATTGTCCAGCTCATCGATGACTTCAAGATCTCGGGGGTTAACGGGGTCCGTATCCTTTGAGGGAGTAGTGAATCAGCCCGGCAGAGTGTAGCAGTGTGTGTTTGTGCGTGTGCGTGTGCGAGACAGACAGACAGACAGAGATCTGGTGCCTGTGGTTTAGACCTGCCCCTCCACAAGCCCAGATCTGTGGTGAGCTGGGGGCGGGTCTCCAGGTTGGCGTCTGGATGGAGACGCTCCCTCCGGGAGGCTAGGCCTTCCCAAACCACATTCGCATGGGAGCATGGCCCTCTCCCCAGGATGCCCAGGGACACTGGGATGGCAGGGCTGGTGACCTCCAGGACCATCCAGTCTGCCCTGCTGCCCCTCTGAACTGCCCAGCCGTGTGCCGCCCACTTGCCCTTCACTCCCTGCCCCAGATGTCTGCATGGTGCTGGAGGTCCTGGGCCACCAGCTGCTCAAGTGGATCATCAAGTCCAACTACCAGGGCCTGCCAGTACCCTGTGTGAAGAGCATCGTGCGGCAGGTGAGCGTCGGGGCCGCGGGCTTCGGGCATGTGGTTGCCACAGGGCGGCTCAGGAGCGCACGGCCCACAGGTGCTGCACGGCTTGGACTACCTGCACACCAAGTGCAAAATCATCCACACGGACATCAAGCCTGAGAACATCCTTCTGTGCGTGGGGGATGCCTACATCCGCCGCCTGGCCACCGAGGCCACCGAGTGGCAGCAGTCCGGGGCCCCGCCCCCGTCCCGCTCCACAGGTACCAGCTGCTGGGCGGCGCCGCGGGCCTGCGGGCAGGCTGGGTGTGGGCCACCCCTGAGTCCCTTCCTTTCTCTCTCCGCCTGCCCCCAGTCAGCACAGCCCCTGAGGAGGTCACGGTGAGTCAGGACCCCCCTCCCGGGGCCCCACCACCGTTGAGGCGGTCAGAAGTGGGGCAGGGGGCGGTCCCCGGGGTGAGCCCGGCTGTGTCAGCAGGTGGGGAAACTGTCCAAAAACAAGAAGAAGAAGCTGCGCCGCAAGCGGAGGCAGCAGAAGCTGCTGCTGGAGGAGCGGCTGCGAGACCTGCGGCAGCTGGATGCCATGGACGAGGCGGCGGCGGCGGCGGAGGCCCGGGCTGAGGGTGCGAGCTCGCGGGCCGGGTCGGGGCCGTCGAGCCGGAGCGGTGCTTCGGGGCCGCGGCTCACCGCTGCCCCCGCTGCTTCCCCAGATGCTGGCTCCACGTCTTCCTCGGGCTGCCACCCTGGGGGGGCACAGGGCGGCCGCTCGCCAGCGTCATCGCCCGGGCCTGGCGGGGAGCGCAGCCCCAGCCCCGGCTCGCAAACGTCGGGCTTCTCGGGCTCCCTCTTCTCGGCCGCCTCCTGCTCGGTGCTGTCCAGCGCGTCCAACCAGCGGGAGGCAGGGGGCCTCCTCTCTCCCAGCAGTAAGTGGGGGCGGGGCGGGGGCAGGGCAGGGGCCCGAGGAGCAGGCGGGCCCGGCGACTCCCCACTCATCCTTCTTCAGCACCATTTGGGGCCTCGAACCTCCTGGTGAACCCCCTAGAACCCCAGAACGCAGACAAGATCAAGATCAAGATTGCGGACCTGGGCAATGCCTGCTGGGTGGTATGAGCCGGGCGCCCCAACCTGGTGCATGCGGCAGCAGGGGTGGGGCCTGGGGCCGTAGAGGCGACTCCCCAAGGCTGCCCTTGCCTGCAGCACAAGCACTTCACGGAGGATATCCAGACTCGGCAGTACCGGGCCGTGGAGGTGCTGATCGGCGCCGAGTACGGGCCCCCGGCCGACATCTGGAGTACGGCGTGCATGGTAGGTCATGTGCTGGGGCGCCGGCCACCACCCACGCATCTCAGCCCCTTCCCCCTCACCCCCCACCCCTCCCACAGGCCTTCGAGCTGGCCACCGGAGACTACTTGTTCGAGCCCCACTCTGGAGAAGACTACAGTCGAGATGAGGGTACAGGGCACTCCTTGGGCTGGGCTGGGCCGGGCCGGGCCCCCGGGCCTCCCAGCCGCCTCCCAGCCTCCCCTCTTTCCACAGACCACATCGCCCACATCGTGGAGCTCCTGGGAGACATCCCCCCAGCCTTTGCCCTCTCGGGCCGCTATTCTCGCGAGTTCTTCAACCGCCGAGGTGGGGCTCGCCGTCTTGCCCAGTGGCCCTGGGGAGGGGGCCCTGGGGCGTGAGGGCTGCACCCACAGCCTCCCGTGCCGGCCTGCAGGGGAGCTGCGGCACATCCACAACCTCAAGCACTGGGGCCTGTATGAAGTGCTCATGGAGAAGTACGAGTGGCCTCTGGAGCAGGCCACGCAGTTCAGCGCCTTCCTGCTGCCCATGATGGAGTACATCCCCGAGAAGCGCGCCAGTGCCGCCGACTGCCTGCAGCACCCATGGCTCAACCCCTAGGCCCGGGAGGGGCGCCCGACGAGCCCGCCGCCGCCGCCCACCTGCAGCGCACACCCCGCAGCCCCAGCCCGCCCCCTCACTAGCTCTGCTCCCACACGGGTTTGTGCTAAAATAAAGGCCGCAGCTGACACGCGTTCGGAGTGCCTGAAGCTGCTTTATTGGGCCCACCTGCCGAGCTGGCTGGGTGTGGGGGAGCCGGGGGACCGGGGCAGGGGGACTCTCACAGGACAGCCCGCCCGTTGATGACGCGGATATTGCGGATGATGTCCTGGATGGCCTCCGAGGTGGTGCCCTGGCCTCCGATGTCCGGGGTATGGATCTGCGGAGATGGGCCGCTGGAGCACTCCCTCCGCGCTGCACGCAACGGGGGGCCTGCCCCAGGGAGGGGGTGGGGGGAACCTCACGTGCTCATTGTCCATGGACGCCAGGACGGCCTTGCGGATGGACTTGGCGTAGGAGTGGAGCCTAAAGGGGAACAGCTGTCTTCAGCGGGGGAGCAGCAAGGGGGCTGGGGCCCGCCGGGACGCCACTTACTTGAGGTGGTCAAGCATCATGCAGCTGGCCAGCAGCGTGGCTGTGGGGTTGGCGATGTTCTTGTTGGCAATGCTCTTGCCAGTGTTCCGTGTGGCCTGGAGAGGCAAGAGGGCGCACGTGTGCGTTGGTGTGGTCCTTGCGGAGCGGCGCCTATGCACGCGTATGCACACCGCCTCTGGTTCCATGCACGCTCACGCGTATGCACAATGCCTCTGGTTTTGTGCACACGCACGTGCACTGCCTCGGGTTTCGTGCACGTGCACGCTTCGTCTGGTGCCAGGCATCTGGGTGCACGTGCACATGCTTCTTTGCAAACAGTCTCACTCTGCCACGTGCATTTGACCTGGTTCGGGCTTGTTTGGGGGCCACAGCCCAGCTGTGCTCAGGGGCTGAACCAGGGTCGGCCATGTGCCAGGAGAGCGCCTTCCCTGCTGTACCATCTCTCCGGCCCAACCTTAAGTTTTCAAACAAACAACCTAAGGAGAGCGCAGAGGTGGGCGGCCTAGCACTGCCATGTGCGTGGGGAAATAAGCAGGCACAGGACACAGCTCCGGTCTAACTGCGAGACACAGAACCCATGTCCTGCCAAGGCAAAGCCAGAGACGGGGAGCAAAGGCACAGCGGTGATACCTCCAATCGGGTCGGGTGCCTTCCGGGCAATGAAAATACCCCCACAGCTACACCACTCGTCTGCTGCCAAGAAGAGGACAGGGCAGGGCAGGGCAGGGCGAGCAGGCATGGCTGAGGGCACTCACCGTCTCAAATACCGCGTATGCGTGGCCGTAGTTGGCACCCGCCACAAGCCCGGGGCCCCCCACCAGGCCTGCACACACATTGTTGACAATGTTGCCGTAGAGATTGGGCATGACCATGACGTCAAACTGCTGGGGCCGTGACACCAGCTGTGGGGCAGGAGGGCAGACAGGAGTCAAGGCCTGGGAGGCCCGGGCCTGGGCCTGGGCCTGGGGGCAGGCAGCCCCGCTCATTACCTGCATGGTGGTGTTATCCACAATCATGCTCTCGAAGGTGATCTGTGGGTAGCGGGCCGCCACCTCCTTGCAGCACTGTAGGAAGAGCCCATCGCCCAGCTTCCTAAGGGGCAAACAAGCCTGGTCACCCTCCAGCATGCGCCAGCAGGGCCCAAGGGCACAGGCACAGCTGAGGGGATGGGGGACGTACATGATGTTGGCCTTGTGCACAGCAGTCACTTTCTTGCGCCCGCTCTCATGGGCCAATTTGAAGGCGTACTCGGCAATGCGCAAGGACTTGGCCTTGGTGATGATCTTCAGGCTCTCCACTACACCCGCCACACTCTGAGGACGGAACAAGGAGCGGTGAAGCCCAGCCTGCCTGCACCCCTCCCCAACAACCACATGCACACACGGACACACACATGCCCGGCGCACGCACCTCATGCTCCAGGCTGCTGTACTCCCCCTCCGTGTTCTCCCGCACGATCAGGATGTCTATGTCCCTGTGTCGGGTCACCACGCCGGGCAGACTCTTACAGTGGATCACATTGGCATAGAGGTCCAAGCTGGTGCTGAGGGCAGAGAGGCAATGAGAGGCAATGACCAGTGCCCTCATCCTGCTGGCATACCAGTCCACTCCCGCCCTGGGCACCGGCGCTCACCGGAGGATGTTGTTCCGGGACTTGTACGAAGGGGGCAGGTTGTGGTTCGTTTCAATGTTGCCTACGGGACGAAAGAGGTCAGAGGAGCTGGCAGCAACCCAGGCTCAGGGGCGGTAGGCAAAGGCCGCTCCTTTGCCACTAGAGGGGCCTCTCCCAGAGAGCAGCACGAGTGCCTCGCAGGGCTCCGTGGATTTCAGGGAGCTGTGGGAGCTTCCAGCGTGCTGGTAGCTTCATGGACTGGGAGCTCGACGATGCTCACTGTTGGCGCTTACTGATCATCTGTGCTATCTTGCTGGAGTGTTTTGCACTGCCAGTGTGCTCAACTGATGTTGTGTACGTGTTTCACTGACTGTTGTGATTCACTGCTGATCTGTTTCCCTGGCGGATGTGTTTCACTGATGGTATGCGTTTCCTGCCTCTACTGTGGACTGATGTTTCACCAGTGCTATGTATATCCACCGGTGGTGTTTCAGGGATACACCTGACCCAGGGTGCAGTATTTCGCAGATATCTGTTGATACTGTGTGCCTTAAACGGATATGGGTGTGTATGTTCCATTGATGTTTCACCGATGGGAGTGTTTTTCAGTGATGTGTGTGCGTTTGCTCTGATGTGCTTCATTTACGGTGCATTTCACTCGTGTGTTTCACTGAGATGTTTCACCAGTGGCTGCTTCACTGATGTGCATTTCTCTGAAGTTGTTTTCATGATGCTGCATTTCACTGATGTGCATGTTTCACTGATGTCTTGCTTTTCACGAACTGTGTATTTTACTGTTGAGAATTTTCACACTGATGCTCTTTGACAACACGCATTTTACTGAAGGTATATTCCACATATGATGCATTTCACTGATGTGTTTAAAGCATCCATAATGGTTGTGTGTGCATTTCACCCATGCCGTGTTTCTCTGATACGTGCTTTTCACTGACATGTGCATTTCACCCATGCAGTGTGTTTCTGATGGTGTGTGCCTTTCACTGACGACATGTGTGCATTTCACCATGCTGTGTTTCTCGGACGTTGTGTGCCTTTCTCCTGTGTTTCTGATCGTGTCTGCCTTTCACCGACTAATGCATTTCACCAATAGTGAGCTTATTACTGCCTAGTTTCTCTGAAGGTGTTTCATGATGGTGACCTGTTCACTCGGCTGTATTTTACAGAAGACTGTTTGGTTGACTGACGTGCTTCACTGATCATGTGTGTTTGCACTGATGGGGTATGTTATTCACTGATGGTGTCTGTGATTCACTGGTGTGTGTGTACATGTATATCTCATTCCGACGGGGAGTATGTATATGTGTGAGTGTCTCCCTGATAGTTTGTTTCACTGGTGTGTTTGTGTGTGTACATGTCAGTGTTTCACTGACAGGCTCTAAAATCCTAGACGAGCCTTGGAACATAGCTACTTTTTGGGAAGTAGGAAGGACTGAAGGGACTAAGGAAGGAGTGGATAAGGATTGTCAGTCAACCAGGAGGAACAGCCAGAGCCTGGGCAGGGAAGGTGTGGCTGGTGTCTGGACAGAAAGTGACTGTTCCCAACTGGCACTGGGCTGACCAGCCAAGCTGGCACCAACAATGTGACCTTGACCACTTCCGGCCTGGCTCAGCACGAGATGCCACACAAGCCCCAGCAGATGCTGAGAGGCGAGAGAAGGTGGCCAGAGGGTGTGACATGTTGCGTTCCGGCCGTGAGTCCCACCCTGCCTGGACAGGTGCCCACAGAAGGCCTCTGTGCCGTCTGGCTGGCTGGCAGTCTGTCCACTTGATTCCAGAGCTGGGCTCATCGTTGCCCTCCTGCTCTCTGCACAGAGCAGGCGATGAGCAAGAGTTTGCACAGGAAGTGATGGAACCATTCCAGAACTCAACAGCGGCAGACAGACTCTGCTCTAACAGCCCAAGCCCCCACCCCACCTCCCTAGCCAAGCCAGGCCTGAGTCAAGTGTGCGAGGTTCGGGGAGGGAGACATGCTGGCCCAGCACTCACCCTTCAGGGCCACGCGGTTCCGGCGGATGGCCATGATGGCGTTCTGCACATCTTCCTCGTCTGTGTTGGAGCTCACGTGCACCTCTTCAAAGTCCACGGGCACACACGCATGCCTGTGGCAGAGCCAGGTCATGCACCTCCACCGGGATGCCTCTCTGGCCGCTGCCCACCCTACCATGGCTCAGACTGGAGGACACACTCGGGGCCACGCGGGGTCAGGGGTGCCATACCTGAACACCGACTTGACGTGTAACATGAGCTCCGGCCCGATGCCGTCCCCAGGGATCATGGTGACTGTGTGCCGCCCACCATATTTAGCTGATGGAGGCTGGAGGAGGGGCAGGGTGGTGCTTCAATTCCATCCTCCCCCAGGATGGGCCCCCAGGGCTGGCCGATCGAATGGAGCCCGAACCTTGGCCCACCCACTCCTGACAGGGCTGCTCTCGAGGTGCCGGGGCAGAGGCACTCCGAGCCCCAACCTAACCTTCAGATGGAAAGTATACTCACAATCGTCTGCTGCTAGAGAGACAAGAAGGAAGAGAACACGGTCAGCTGCGGTGGGAGCCGAGCTCAGGGGGACCCACCGCCGAACCTGGACACTGCCACAGGAAAGGCGCCCAACGAGTGCAGAGCACAGGAGCAGCCCACACGCGTGCACGCATGCCCATGGGCCAGCGTGCACAGACCCCAACCCCCACACACCCGCGCACACGCACACGCACACGCCAGGCAGCTACTTACTGAGACGTTCCTCCGGGAGGCCTCCCGTGCACCCAGAACCTGACCGAGAGAGCCTCTGTGTCAGCTGCTGTGATCCTGCCACGGCTCCCAAGCAGGGGCCGGACACCAGCCACTCACCCTCTCCCCTCATAGAGCCTCCCCCGGAGGGGCCCACGGAGCGCCAGCCGGAGCATCACAAGCCAGGTGGCGTCCAGCTCTGGAGACGGCTTCCTCCCAATGCCCGCCACTGCCCCTAGCGCCTGCTGCTCCTGTGTCTCCTCCCCCACCCTCGCCGCTTCCAGCCCTTATGTGCACGGTACCGGCCCTAGGAAAGCTCAGGGAACTGGACTGGCCACACAGGAGGCCACAGGGACCTGGTGGATTTCTCCCTTGGGCCTTTTTCCTGGCCACGAGATCAATATCCACCAACCCGGGAAAGTCAGCTGGAAACAGCCAGTTTGGCTTCGATGGCAGCAAGAGCCCCAGCCAAGTGGACCAGGTGTTAAAGGAGGGGAGGGCATCTGCAGGAAGACACGGGGGACCCAGCTCCCCCTGCCAGGGAGACAGTCTACCCAATGCTCACTGCAACAGGGGACCTAGGTTCCCCCACCAGGGAGATGGTCCGCCCATTGCTCACTGCAACGCCCCCCCCCCCCCCGGGAGCCTCTGTGAGGGGAGAGGGTGAGTGGCTTGTGTCTGGGTCCTGCTTGGGAGCCGCAGCAGGATCACAACAGCTGACACAGAGGCTCTCTTGGTCTCAGGTTCCAGGCTCCATGGGACACATGGAACACTTCTTGAATGATGAGCATATCAGCTAAGGGGAAGTGGGGGCTGTGGAAGCTCGGTGCAAAGCCACTGTCACTGGCTCCTGGAGCCTGACAGTCTGACCTTGCTGAGCTGTCCCCGGGGATACAGGGGCTGACTGGTTGTGCCCTTGGAAGGACTGTGTGAGGGGAGGGGCACACTCGCCCCATCCCAAGAAGGGTTTCCTGGATTGTGTAAGACCCTTGAGTGAGGGTGCCGCCCAATGGGAGCGGTGGGGGACGAGTCCTGTCACTGGCCTCTGAAGCCCCCCTGGGCCCCTCAGCTCAGCATGGTGTAGCACTTTCCTGGACTCTGGCCAAAGTGCCCAACAGCCTCCAGGTCAGAGAGTGGTCTGCTCATATCTTTGCAAAAGGCAGATATGCTGGGCGCTCCCCAGGCCTCACTGTACCCCTGCTTCTGAGATTCAGCTCGATCGAGAGGCAACAGAGGCAGAATCCCTCCTCCCCGACCCCCACTCCCGGAACCAAAGCTTTGAGTTCATTTCTAAAGGTTCCCCGAGCCCAGGCAGGGCAAAGCCCAGGCCAGCACCCTGCTTGTACTGCACCATGAAGACGCCGATGCCACAGCTCCAGACGACCCAGCAGCCCCTTAGCAGAGCCAGGCCAGCCTAAGTGCTGGCAAGGTAGGTAGGCTGTCCCTGGAGTGGGGTCCCCAGGAAGTGACCTGTGTGCCCACGTGGAGCTCGGGCAAAGTTGGGAGTTCTGAAAGGTCAGAGCCGGCGGGGTCCCTTGAGAACATGAAGTTCCCTCCCCTCAGTGTGGCCAGAGGAAAGACCACACAGGGGTCAGTGAAAGAGCCGGTCGTAGAGGTCACATCGGCTCTCTGTCCAGGGACCGTCCTAGCTTCTAGCGCGACACCCGCCAGGGCCGCAATCGTCTTCCCACGAAGGCTTAAGCCTGCGCGGGGAGATGAATCGGACCCGAAGACCCAGGATCCCGGTGGGAGAACGGGGGCAAACCGCCCCCAGACGCGACTGCCTCCGGCGCCAGCGGGGCTCTGGGGATGCCCGAGGCAACAGGAGGGCCGGCCACGGCGCGACCCCCGGGGAAGACGGTCCCCAGACGTTCCGGGAAAGGCGAGGCGGGGCGGGTGGCCGCCCCCGGGGTGTCCCGCAAGGTCGCGAGGGAAGCGACACGGCCACTCTCCCCTCCCGCCCGGGTTCCCACAGCCCGCGCTGCAGACCCCGGGGCAGCCGCAGCCGGGCCAACTTCGGCCCGACCCCTCGCTTGACAGCAGGGGCGTCCAATCAGCCCCCGCGCCTGGCCCTCTCTCCGCCCCCCTCGGGGCCGGCGGCCAATCGGGACCGGGACGCTCCGGGCGCGCCGGCCCCGCCGCGAGGGGAAGTGCGAGGCGCCCCTGGCGCACCCCGCGGCCCGCGGCGCCCTCTCACCTCCCAAGGACGGCAGAGGAGGGCCGGCCGGAGCATGGCCTTCGCAGCGCCGCCCGCAGCTGCTGCCACCTTCAGCGCCATGGCGGAAAGTGAGGCTCCGAACGTCCGAACACGCAGACAGTGCTCTCGCGAGAACTCGGCGGAACACGAAGTTCTGCGGCAAGCGGGCCCCCGCCCTGCGCACGCGCGCCACCGCAGCGGCGACCACACCCCCTTCCGGCGCCGGGAGCGCAGCCGCCATGTTGGGGGGGGCCGCCAGCTGCGCCCCTGGTCCAGGGAGGGGACACGTCGGTGTCGCCAGCGACGTCACGGGCTCGCCCGGCCCGCTGGCCTGTCATTGGCCACCGTGGCTGCTGACGCGTCGCGCTTCCTCGTCGGCCCCGCGTGTTTAGGGGAGCCCGTTCTCTTTCCCTCGCCGGAGAAGAGGCGATGGCGGCGCTGGCGTCTCTCGCTCCCCTGGCGCTGCTCTTGCTGGCCGGCCTGTCCTGCTGCTCAGGTAGCGGCCTGCAGGGGCTCGTCTCGGGTCGACCCTTCCCGCGGCAGGTGGTGCGTGGGGGAGGGAGCAGGGGTGCGGGCGAAGTGGGGCTCCGGGCCTGCCTCTGAGAGGCAGGAGCGCACAGTGCAGGGTCACGCTGGCCCAGCGAGGCCACTGCGCGCCCCTGCATCAGCGACGTCTGTGCAATAGCCACGGCCCTTCCCCGCCGCCCGCCCCTGCCGGGAAATGCTGCACTCCTGCAGCCCCCAGCCCGGGCAGGGCAGGTGACACGCGGCCCGGCTCCCTGTCCCTGGCGATCCGGGCTGGCCGAGATGCAGCACGCCCCGGCCAGTGATCCGAGCGGACGTGCGGGGACGATTGGGGCCCGCGGGGGCTGGCTGGGCTGGAGCCCAGAAGAGGCATGGTGCTGCACCTTCGCCCTACCTGCAGCTTCCGGCGCCACCCAGTGCCACGAGGGCGCCTGTCCAACCTCGGGGAGCAGCGCGGGGAGATGTCACCCTCTCCAGCGTCTGTGGCATGTGTGCGGACATTGTGTCCCCTCCTTTCTGAGGGCAGCACTGAACCCTTCTCTGTGGGAGGGCAGGGGGTACCCTGTCGGGAGTGCACGGTGCAGGGTCACACTGACCCCAGCCTTGTGTGCTGCCTGCAGGGCCCCCTTCTGGTGGCTCTCTGACACTGCATGGGAAAGCCACCTGGCAGGACCCAGAGGGCTCTGACTGCTGGGCTCGGGGCTGGCTGGTGTCGTCTGCCCAGGCTCAGCACTCATAGCCCCAGGTCCTTCCCCGCAGCAGAGGCCTGTGTGGAGCCACAGATCAGCCCGTCATACTATACCACCTCAGACGCCGTCATCTCTACGGAGACAGTCTTCATCGTGGAGCTCTCCCTAACCTGCAAGAACAGAGCCCAGGTGAGGCTGTGGGCTGACTGCTTTCTAGAGTACCTGGGGCCCAGGGGCCGAAAGCAGGAAGTTAGACGTTTTGGGGTCTAGTGCTCGTGGGGTACCCACCTGTTCTCATGCATTTTCTTCCTGGCTCAGTTGTAATGGGGTTCCCCCACCTCAGATTTGGAGAAGGCAGTGGCAGGAGGGTAGGTTGGCTTTCTGGCATGGGACTTAGGGCTGTCAGATTTGCTGCTGTAGTTCTCCGGAGGTCCCCCTGCTGCCTCACCCCCACTCTGGGCCAGCCCTAGACTGGCCATCAAAGGAAGCCAGTGACTGTCTCCCCCAGAACATGGCTCTCTATGCCGACGTCAGTGGAAAGCAGTTCCCTGTCACACGGGGCCAGGATGTAGGACGGTACCAGGTAAGTAAGGTACAGTGGCCCGGGCTGTGGGTGGAGGATTTAGGGATTCAGCACTGGGAGGGGGGTTCCTGCTGTCTCCCAGGTATCCTGGAGTTTGGAGCACAAGAGTGCGCACGCGGGGACCTATGAAGTTCGGTTCTTCGACGAGGAGTCATACAGCCTGCTGAGGAAGGTGGGTCCCGGGGGCCTTGCTGCGGCCACCCCTGCCTCTCCGGCGGCCCTCAGAACATCCTGACTCCTGTCCTCGCTTTCAGGCTCAGAGAAATAATGAAGATGTTTCCGCCATCCCACCCCTTTTCACAGTCAATGTCGACCACCGGGTGAGTGGCTGAAGGTGGCCCCGTACCTGGAAGCAGGGGGATACAACCTCCTACGGCGGGGTGGGACTGGGTCACTCCATCCTGAGTCTGCACCCTTCCTTACAGGGTACTTGGAATGGACCGTGGGTGTCCACTGAAGTGCTGGCTGCAGCCATCGGCCTGGTCATCTACTACCTGGCCTTCAGTGCCAAGAGCCACATCCAGGCCTGAGGGGCGGCCTGCCTGGTGCATTCAATAAACCTCTACTGGCTCCTGCTTGTGTCACCCGCCTCCGGCCTGGGCAAAGCCAGGCCACCAGCACACAGTGTGGATCTCAGTCGCTGGGCTCCTCTCAACACCCTCCTTACCCCCAGAGAGGCGCATGCGCCTTGCTTCTCCCCCCCCCCCCAGCCTGATTGGGGGTGGGCCCGGGAAGGGCTCCTAGAGAGTAATGTGGAAAGGCCAGCACAGCAGCACTGGACAGCCCTTCCCATGCCCGGGTGTTGCTTCTGGGAAGAAAGGAAACCGTGGTAGCCTCTTCTGGCGGCACATGTCCCTGAGCAGTCCCCCTTTCAGCAGTGACAGTCTCCAGGGAACTTGGGGTTCATGGGAAATGGCGTCCACCTTGCTAATGACCCCGCTGGCCCTCAGTGGCTTCGAGAATCTTGGGAACTTGGCAAGCTCTGCCCTGTAGCTCCCAGCCTCTCACGCAGCCATGGTGTGCTGCCAGCAGAGGGCGCTGCTTCAGGCCAGAGATCCCCTGGGAAGCACCCGCTTCTGCTGGGAGGGTCTGTGCAGCGTGAGCACACAGCCCCCCAGAGCCAGGCCAGTCGACCCTGCAGCTGCAGAGTTTTGGCACTGCCTTGCCCTACAGCAGCCCAGGTGTCGACTGTGGAAGGGCCTGTCCTATGTCTTGGGACTGCTAGGACTCAGCCACCAAAATGGGGTGCTTTTAGAATCCTCCGGCCCCCAGGCAGCTCAAGGAGGTGCCACCCAGTTCTCTGCAGCAAGGAAAGGGTTTCTTCACGGGTGCACAGGGCCTACGCCTTGGCCCAGGCTTCCTGGCAACACTGAGCATTGGGAACACACCCTCAGGACCCCACCCTGCCCACTGACCCAGCTCTGCCCTGCTTTTTCAGGGGCACCTGCCCCATTCACCCCACTTTCGCAGCTGACTGGGCCTTGTCTGGGACTGAGCTTTGCCACACTGCTGGCTCCAGGGGGCGTTGTGCCCCATCAGCACTGAGCACAGAGCCCATGTGACAAACCTATGTGCTTGTCTAGGTGGTCCCCAGCTTCCCAGCACCCATCCATCTGCCACAGCTCTGCCTCTCGTTCTGAGCTGGGGAAGCAGAAGACCGCTCCTCTGGCTTTAGGATGAAATGGGCAGGGGCTGGTGCTAGTTCCGTGTTTGACTTCTACAAGGCTGTCTGTGGTTTGGTTCCCAAGCAAAGGAGTGATGTGTGGGCCCCACAGGGTATGGCCCCCAAACATCCTTGCTGTTGGGAATGGCATGCAGGCTTGGAGAGACTCAGCACCCCATTGTCCCTACCCTGTGCCCCCGCAGAAAGAACTAGCAAAGGAAAAGAAGGTCACCGAGTAGAAAGGCAGCTTTATTCTCACAATGCCACACTGGTGCGTGGGGTGGGCAGCTATGGGGGATGCCGGCTTGCTCCCCCAGCTCTGAGGATGAAGCGCTGCCTCACCACATGGGGCTTCTTTGGGGTCCCCTCCCCAGCCAATGGAGCCCACTCTAGGCGAGGCTCTTCGGACAGTTCCGCTCCCTTCGATGAGCCCTCAGGGGGAAGCCTTCCCAGTCACATAAGTGACAACCTGTCCCCACACCTTGGCTGCTTCCCATCTGCCTGTTTTCCCCCCTCCCTCCCCAGGCCCCTCCTCCCCCCTCCCCCCTCTCCCCGGCCATCACTGGGGGCTCCACCTTGGGTCAGGCTGCCAGCCCCAGGCAGGGCCACAAAACAAAAACAAGGGTTGGCAAGCACAGAAAGGGAGAAAAATTCCACAAAAATCAGGGTTCCTCTGTCTACAAATCACAGGCTCCGGCAGCGGTGAGGCTATGTGGCCCATTGGCCCCAGATGTCCTCTTGTGCTTCAGACAGTCCTCTGCAGCCTCTCCCCTGGCTCCAGGCCCTGGGCATGTGCTTGTGCGCGCAGCCGGAGGGGTGCCTCTAAGCTGACTAGCCAAGTGCTCACAGCGCCAATGGCAGGAGAAAGGTCCTTTTGGAGGACCTCTTGGGCCACCAGTCCTGCGCGCACACAGCCGCTGGATTCTACGGGGCACAGGGCAGGCGGACGGTCCGGCAGCTCCCCGCGGACACCTCATACAGTGGTGACGGACAGCAGCGGGTTGTATACCCGCTTGCCGTCGGCCGAGCGCGTGCCGTGAGCCAGCATCTCCTGGATGGTGATCCAGTTGTCCAGAATCTTCTTGTTCCGCTTCTTCATGGTCTTGCGGTGGCTGAGCGCGATGATGTTGAGCTCGGCCCGGCTGTCCCCGCTCTGCTGCTCGCGCAGGCACTCGAGGCGGCTCTGCATCATGAACTCGCGCCGCTTCCGCTGCTCGCGGGCGCGGATCAGGTGCTGCTTGCGCTCCTCCTTGCTCCAGTAGCGGCCCATCTTCATCTCGCTCACGGCGTCGTCGTCCGTGGTCATGCCGCTGCGCTCCTCGCGGATCTTCAGCGCGCGCGCCTTCAGCAGCCGGTCGCGCACGGGCCGTTTGGCCACGTAGCGGGTGCCGTCGCTGCGCACCTTCACCTTCCACTCCATGCGGGGCGCCTCGGGGGCTGCAGCGGCTGCGCCCCCGACCCGGGCGCCACTGGCCAAGCCCAGGGGCCCGGGGCCCAGCTCCTCCAGGCCGCGTGGCGGGGCCAGCTGCACACAGCTGTGGTAGTGCTCGCTCTCCGCGCCCCGGTGGCGCCGGGACAGGTAAGGGCTGCCTTCGGGGCCCACGCGCTCGAGGGTTCCCCCTGCCTTGGGGCTGCGGGGCATGCGCTCCTCCGAGTGCTGTCTCCGGCCCTCGGGATCGCGGGAGAGGGAGCGGAACTTGGCCGGGCTCCCGGGCGCCGCCTTGGCGTGAGTGGCGCCGGCAGGGCCGCAGGGGGTCCGGTTCAAGTTGGAGTTGCCGGTGGCCGCCCCCCGGCGCAGGGGGCTGTCGGGCAGGGGCTCGGCCAGCAGCGGGGTGCTGCGGCAGCTCTCGCCCGTGTTGTAGGCGCTGGTGCTGTCCTTGTCGGACTTCTCAGGCAGCTCGGAGATGTCAGGCAGCTCGTGCTTCTTGGGCTCGCTGGCCGCCAGCTCATACAGGCTCTCCTCGTCGCGCAGCCACGCCTTCATGCAGCGCTCGCGGAGCTGCTGCATCTTCTGCGCGCGCAGGATGTTGCGGCACTTGAACTCCAGGTGCCGCAGCTCCTCCTCCAGCATGGCCATCTCGTGGCCCAGGCTCTCGTTGCGGTTCACGTCCAGGGCGCTGTGGCCGCCCGCGGCACGCGGGAACAGGAGCCCCAGCGGGTTGCCGTTCTCCAGGTGGCACTTGATCTCCAGCAGCTCCCGGTAGCGCTCGGACTCCTCGTCTGTGAGGCCCGGCACGTCCCCCACACCCAGCCCCGCGCCCTCGGCCAGCAGGGAGTCCATGCTGAAGTGGAAGTCGCGGCTCTGCAGTGGCGGCGCCTCCCCCTGCGGACCGAACTTGCGCAGGGTCCCGGGGGTGTTGGTGGTGCTGGGCGGCTCGTCGCCCAGCAGGTCGTGCTCCGAGCTCTCCTCGTTGCGCGTGCTCTCGTCGGTCCGGCCCACGCCACTGTCCAGCTCCTGGCTGTTGCTCAGGCCCGAGCCCGCCTCGGGGGCCCCTTTCTCCTCCTTGTTTCCAGGCTGCGACAGACAGTTGCCACCTCAGTCCCCCTGCTTCTCCAGGCCTCCCGCCACCCCACGGCACCTGCGCCCCTCCTGTCTCACCTGCTGGCCCAGGGGGGATTTCAGCTTCCGCACACGCAGGTCCGCCTCATTCTCCGAGCCAAAGTCATCCAGAAAGTCATCCCGGTCACTGTCCTTCCAACGCTTGGCCAGCTGCACACACAAGGCGGGGGGGGGGGAGGGAACCCCAGCCTGAAGGGCCTGCCCTGCCTCTCCCTGTGGCCTGCTCTCAGGGAGGTGACCTGCTCAGAGGGGTGACCCCAGCCCACTCAGCCACCGGAGGCCAGGGAACCTGCCCACCCTTCGCCATGGCCAGTGGGTGGACCCAAGTCCTGATAGGCGCCCTCACAGCCTGAGGGCAGAGGGCTCAGGGCACCGTACAGGGCACACACCTGGCTCTCGGGTCGGGCCACCAGCAGGGAGATGTTGGTATTCTCTTCCTGGCTCAGAATGGCCACTGCCTCTTCCCGGTTCTGGACGTCCACACCATTAATCTGTGGGACAAGCAACAGGGAAGTGGGTTCAGGGCACTGACGCGGGAAGCGCTGGAGCAGGAGCAGCTCAGGAGAGATGTGGAGGGGGCCTCGCACGCCTACTCACTCACCTGGACTATGCGGTCCCCCTCGCGGATCCTGCCATCTTTGGCTGCAATGCTGTTGGGGTTCACCTGCAAGGAAGGGCAGCTTCACTAAGGGATCCCAGAAGTACACTGTGGGCCAGTCCCCAGAACCAGCTGCCAACGTGCTTTCCCCGCCCCCAAAGCCATCCACCCCCTCCAGAAGCCAGGAAGCCTCATCTTCTGCAGGTCCGAGGGCAGACAGGCAGTAGCAGGGATGGTCCCTGCTGGACGGGGGCACTGGTCCCAAATGATGAGAGAGGGAACCAGGCAAGGACCCATTTCAGTCTTCCCTGCTGCCCCCCAAGCCACAGTCCCACAGAAGTCCAGGCCCCCCGTCTGACGTCAGTCCCGCCTCCTACCTCTCCGACGTAGATGCCCAGGTCCTCCTCGTCGTCCGTGCGGTAGCAGACCATGAGGCCCAGCTTGTCCCGGTGGCTGGCTTTATAGAGCTCCACCTCCTGCGCACGGCAGCCAAGCCCGGGGACAGAGGCACAGGAGGCCCCCAGTGAGCCAGGCCATGACAGGGAGGCAGCCAGCCCGGCCCGAGACCTCCCCTGCCCACACCCTGCCCACAGCTGGTGCCAGCCCCGGCTTTCTCTTACCATCCCCACCGGCGCCCGTGGGATGCAGTGTCCCTACCAGGAAGTGCCCGAGACGCACACAAGACACATGGGTCGCACAGGACACACATGCATGGGACACAGACTCCCCAACACACGCTCCCCACCCGCCCGAACTCCACCTGTGTTGGTGGAGAACTGGAGTCGGGGCCACACGTTGGTGCAGAGCGCAGGCCTGGTCACCCCGTGGCCGCAGGCGACAGGCCCCAGCAAGGCAGCTGAGAGCCAGGCCCAGCCCCAGCTCTGTCCTGGCCACCTGGCTCACCTCATACTCCAGCTCGTCCAAACGGTCTGCCTCCTGCGGGCCGCCCTCCATGAAATCCGCTGGGTCATAATACTCATGGCTGATGGGGGGGCTGCCCAGGAGAAGGGGGATCAGCAGGCCGTTTCCTCTCCTGGCCTCGCCCCAGCTTCCAGGCTGGCTGGACCCAGTACACTCAGCAGGGAGCCATTCTCGGGCTGGCCTGGGTGCAGGCACCAGGCTCCTTGGCACTACATGCAGCTTGTCCAGAGCACCAACCCCTCCCAACTCCGGGTGCCCATGCATGCAACGCCCCCAGGAGTTACCCAGGCCCTGAGGGTGGCCGGGGAACGCTGGATGCCCCACTCTACCTCCAGGGGGGCCCTCCTTGCCCGAGGCTAAGCTTGGCCGCTGGCGGAGGAGGGTGTACCAGCCCGTGTCCCTGCAGCCCAGCTGGGACGACCGGAAAGAGCCGGCGCTCACGGAGCGCGGAGCCCAGAGCCCAGAGCCTGGAGCCACGGGGCCGGCCGAGAAAGAAAGAAGTCGCAGAGATGGAGACAGGGAGGGGGCAGACAGGGTGCAAGAAGGCGCAAGTGAGATGCTGGGGAGGCAGAGACGATGGGGCGGCAGAGGACAGGATGGATGAGGAGGAGCTGAGGCCCGGCCTCCCAGCAGCGCAGACAGGACGGGGCGGCCGCCCTCAGCCTGGGGGTAGAGACGCGGGCAGGCTGCAGGTCCAACGGCCCAGCCCCATCCAAGGCTAGAGGCCCAGAGCCCACGGAGCCCCTGGGTGCCAGGCAGCTCTGGAGGTCAAGAAGCCTGCTGCCCGCCCTGGAGGGCAGCCAGCCGGGCCCTGCCTTGCCTCTGGGGGTGCAGGAGGCCAGCCCTCTCAGAGGCAGGGCCCGGGGCCCTCCTGAGGGCGACTCACAGCTCAGAGAGGACGTACGGCTCCAGGATGACTGCGGGTGGGGTGGGTGGGCGCAGCTGGCCCAGCGCCATGATGTGCTCGAAGGTGACATCGGTCTGAGTGCCACTGTCCACCAGCTGCAGGTCATGGCAGGAGCCAGCCCCCCGGAGGCGGGGGCTGCGTCTCAGCACCTGGATCACCAGGGGCTCCTTGGAGGAGCGCAGGGCCTCCAGGGTTTGCTCCTGAGACAGCCGGGAGAGCTCCTTCCCGTTCACCTGCAGAGACACGGCCGTGAGACCCTGCGCCCCAGGCGGTGCCACCGAGGAATCTGCAGCCCACACACAACCTGGCCTGAGCTCCAGGCTGGCCCCCTGGTGGCCTTGCCCCCGAACACTGGCAGAGCTCTGCGTCGCGCTGGGGCCACGTCTGGGCTCGCCCAGCAGACAGAGCCCGGAAAGGGAAGATGCAGCCGACAGGCCCATCCTCCAGGGCACCCAGCAACCCGATCTACAAGGAAGACTCGAGGGGGTGCCAAAGGAGGGGTCCCTGGTGCGGCGACCTCAAATTCTGACCCTCAACGAGCCTCTTGGCAGCTGAGAAAGCCCAGGTTCAGCAAGACAAAGGGCACAGGCCAGAGAGGGCGGCGGGACAGAAGGGCAGCCTGGCGGGACAGCAGCTGGGGCTCCAGCGTGTGTGAGGCCAGCAAGCGCCGTGACTGGAAAATCCTCACTGGTGGACAGGTGAGTGGAGAAGGGCAGGGTGAGCAGCCCATCTCGGTCCAGGTTCTGGTGTCTGCTGACAGATCACACCTACAAGCAGGTCTGCGGCAAAGGGTCTCCAGCACCTGCAGCCAGGTGCCTGTATGCACCACGGCTGAGGGCTACAGCCTCCTGTGAGCACAACTCCAAGATGTGCAAGCAGTACTGCAGAAATTGGAGTCCCTTCCTGGCAAGCGCCACAGCCTAAGGATGGCCCCAACCTGACGCACGGTCTCTGGGGGCCCTCACGAGGGTCTACGCCCCCTCGTCATCACCGCAACAACACAAGAAGCTGGTTGGAAGGTGCAGTGGGGAGAAGTGCCCTGTGGGGAGTGTTGGATAACAATGGTTTGTCCTTTCTCTTTGCCGAAGGGAGCTTAGGGTTACTGAGTAATGCCCACCGCAGTGCTCCCAAAGCACTCCCATTCCTGTTTATCTTTAATGGCTCTTCGGTGCTCAGCTTCCCCTCTCTGTTGATCCCTATCTCCCCAAATCAGACCCTTTGACTTATGAGGTCAGATTCTTCTGAGGACTCAGGATTTTGTATATGCAAGTGAAATGTTGCTTTTCTCTCTCCCTTATGTCCTTTGCATAGTTCCCTTTAGAGCAATGTCCTTTTTGTATAGACGCAGGAAGACAGTCAATGCTACGCTTTCATAACCTGGGAGTTAATTGACTCCGAACAATATTTACTCCTGTGCATCTGTCATATTTTCTTGACTGAAGACTCAGTTGCCCTTAGTTCCTAACACCCCAAAAGATGGTTCCTGATGAGGGATTGGATGGACCCAGGGCAAGCCGTAAGCTACCCTAGCATCAAAAAGAGACAAGGTGTCAGTAGATACACGGGACAGATAGATTGCTCCATAGCTGGAAGCCTGCCTCATGAGCAAAGGGGAGAAGGCAGCTGGAACAGAGAAGGGATTGCTAAGAAAAAGATGGCTGGAGAAACTGGTCGGCATGGGAGATGTATGCAGAAAGTAGATAAAGGACCAAACATGATAGCCTCTCAGGATCTGTACTGCAAACCATAATGCCCAAAAGTAGAGAGAGATTATGGAGAATCATGTCTGCCATGGAGGCAGAGGGAGGGTGGGAAAGGGGGGTATACCAGGGATATTGGTGGTGGGGAATGTGCACTGATGGAGGGATGGGCGTTTGATCCTTGTGTGATCGTAACCCAAACGTGACAGCTTATAACTATCTCACGGTGATTCAATAGATTTAATAAGGAAAAAAAAGAGATAAGGTGTGAGCTACCCTGGCATCAAAAAGGGACAGGCCAAGCACAATAAAACTTATAACTAATGGGGCTGGAGAGATAGCACAGCGGGTAGGGCATTTGCCTTGCACGCGGCTGACCCGGGTTCGATTCCCAGCATCCCATATGGTTCCCTGAGCACCGCCAGGAGTAACTCCTGAGTGCAGAGCCAGGAGTAACCCCTGTGCATCTCCAGGTGTGACCCAAAAAGCAAAAAAAAAAAATAAAACCACTTATAACTAAGAGCACAGTCACAGACAAACTGTCATGGCCCAACAAGAAGTAACTGGATAAGGACCCTGCTGGGGTTAGGAAGGACTAATCTGGCCTGAGGACTGTAGTCTGGGATCTATAATGAGATGTCCCCAGGAGAGCCACCCTTTAAGCTTAAGATATCTCTTACTGTGTTCATACAAAAAGACTAGAAAGATTATTAAGAGGTAAATGTAAGATAACTGTTTAAATGGATAATGGCCAAGGAAAGGGGAAAGTACTAAGCCTTAGATAGAATCCCACCCTTGGGCGTATCTCCTAGAAGGATGAGATTTTGTCCTAGAAGAAGCCTCCCCTGAGGGAAGGGCTTTCATATGTTGATTGTGCTGCCACACCTAAGGGTAATTGCTACCCTTCAGGATTTCTCCATAACTAATGCTGTGAGACTGTAAAGAGGACCAGCGGGAGACTGGTGTGGGGGACAGTGTGAGTCTGGAATGTGGACAATGTGTATAAATGGCAACTGATTACCAACCAGCCTGGCCCCCACTTCCTCCTTCGGTCGCCCATCACTGTCAGCCAGCCAGGGTGGGGAGGCGGCTCTTGGCCATCAAATGCACACGTCGAGCACCTCCAGAGGGCCCAGGGGTGGGGGCAGACACAAGCCCCACTCTGTTTGCTGAGCTATCTCCTGCTCACTGTCGGGAGGACTGGCCAGCCCCTGGAGGCTCCGGGAAGAGACGGACTCAGGCCAGCCAAGTGTGGCCGGGACAGTCTGGCTCAGCCAGTCCTGGAGCCTCATCACCCAACCAGCCCTGTCCTGCTCCTTGGTTATATCCTCAGGGACGATAATTTCCATCTCCCGATGCTCAGAAATGACAGTTTTGAATTCGTCTTGTCCAGTTAGAATGGAAATGCGGAGAAGAGAGAAAACCAGGACCAGCACTGACCAAAAGGAAACTTCCGGGGCTGAGGTAATAGCACACGAGGCTGGATTCCTGACACTGCCTGGTCGCCCAGCACCACCAGGAATGCCTCCCTGCAGTTTCCCCCCAGAAAACCACAGGGAAGAAAACAAAACTCACTCTTGCTCACAAGGCCTGAGAGGTGTGACTGTGTTGGCAATTGCCCTTACCCTCCTGCCAAGCCCATTACAGGCTCTGCATAGCATTTGCACCCTTCTGGCCACCCCCCCGAAAGTGTCCTGTTAGATCTCATCAAAAAGGCTGCAGACGACCCAACTGTGTATGCTCTATACCACCTACGTTTGACATGCATCCCTATGTAATCTAGAACTGGAACATTAGAAAACATTCTAGAAGTGTATCAGAGCACGGAGGAGGAGCCCGGAACACCAAGTGTCAGTGTCACAGACGGTCAGTGTTCAGTGTGAGGCCTTCGGGCTGCGGTTCCTGGTGGGGAGCAGAGGGCTGGGGGCGGATAGCAGAAGATCAACTCAGTTTGGGGCCAAGAAAATGTGCACTTCATGGGGCCGTGTGACATAGTATGACAATACACAGGGAAGGGTGCTTGTCCTGCACAGGGACGACTCGGGTTCCATCCCTGGCACCCCATATGGTTCCCTGAGCACCGCACAGAGTCAGGAGTACTGGGTGTGTCCTCCCAAAGAGGGCAAGAACTTCTGGGAGCTCCTGGCTTCCTAGCGTGTGCCACACTCCTGTCAGCCATGCTCCCGTTCCTTCTTTGTAGCCTTTCTGTCTGTCACTGACAGTCGCTGACTGCTTAGGAAAGCGACAAAGCCCCACACCTGGCTTCTGGTCTCAGAATATCTGCCAGCTCTTTTGAGCAGCTCCAGTCAATGGTTTCCTTAACAACCTCAGGATCTGTGTGTGCGCGCGTGCGTGCACACTCCCCTAAACTCCTGGGGCAGCGCGACAAGTGCGCAGTGGGACGCTCAGGTGACACTGAGGAATGCAGGGATGTCTTTCTCCCCGGATTCGTTACCCAGCAGCAGCGTTGCTATGGAAACCGGGCCCAGGCAGTGGGAGGGGAGTGTGAGGAGGCTGGGATGTCAAGAGGGGGATGGGCGCACAGCCTCAGCCCCTCAGCAGGGGCCATCAGCGTGATGCTTGTGACAGTCGGGCCGCCTGGCCCTCTGCCGCCCGGCGCCATGCAATGCAGAGGCCGGTGCGCAGGTTTGGAGTGCCTTGACCGCAGCCCCCACCTCATCAGTGGGGGGGGTGGTGTGGGGGTGGGAGGCAGACGAGTCCTGCAAAGCAGAAACAAGCCCCCTGGAGCAAGAGCACCTCCAAGATGGGCAATATGGGGCAAAGAGCCAAGACCACCAGGCTCTGGTTGTGATGCCACGTTTTGATGGCAGCTGTCCTTGGCAAGGGAAGACTCTGGCAGTGCCACCGCGTCTTGGACCCAACCTGACGGCGACACCCCCGGGGCTCTCAGGACCAACCTAAAAGGACCCCAGCAGGCAGCCCTACAATGCATCTCTCATCACCTTTTTCCTGTTTCCCATTCTTTCCACTCAGCAAGAAGCCAACAGAAAGGCTGCGTCACCAGGTCGGTCACCAGGGGGCAGCACTGAGATTATGCCCTCGCGCTGGCTGGACCGTTTCCAGAATCTTTCAAAATGGAGGGGCCACCAGGGAGGGCCGCCAGCTGGACAGCCTGTGGCCACTCTGTGGGACATGACTGGGTAATGCCGCGACTGTCTAGATGCAATGGAGACGGTTTCAGTATTAATCGGGCCACAGAGCAGTAATGACATGGCTTACCAATGGCAACTGTCAGGGCTAGGCGCCAAGTGCAGAGAGGGCAGCGAGGTCATGCCAGGGCCAGCTGGGGGATGCACGATGACATGACCCCTGTGGACTCTGGCTCTGGGCTGCGCAGTGTCAAAGGTGGCCCAACCGTCTGCCCTGCGCACAGCTTTCCTCCCCTTCTCGAAGCTCATGTAGCCCAGGGGCTGGGGCTCACCACCCTGCTGTCCTGCAGGGCCTGGCAAACAGTGTGGGCATTGCTCCCAGCCTCCGTGAAGCTGCCGGGCCGCCCCTGATCACCATCCTAG